CACACCTGTAATAGGTGTAACAAAGGTCAGCACCATGCAGCATTGTGCAGAGACACCAAAACAACGTCTCCAAACCCCAAGGTGGAAGATAGCATTCCCACCACAGTACAGTACTGCAAGGTGCAACCAACAAAGAGTGTCCAATCGGCAAAGTCTAAAGGTAATACGACTTTGCCTACTGCCCAAATTACCATCCTGAATAAGAGGGCCAAGGTCCATACCCGTGGGTTGTTTGACCAAGGATCCCAGAGAACATATATCACTAAAAAGTTGGCAGATGAATTACAATTAAGGCCTGTAGCCCAGATGTCATTCAACATCTCAGGGTTTGTAACAGATGCAGGACCTCAAGTCTACCAGGTGGTACAACCATCAGTACGTTTAGGCAGGTACGTCTGTAGAGTACAAGCCATTGTGGTGGACAAAATACCAGTAGACCTACAAGTTCAAGGTCTGAGAGCAACAGCCAAATTCCTGAGAAATAGAGGAATAAAATTGGCAGATAATATTAAGTCTGATCACCTCACTGACTTCGGTCTCCTTGTAGGGACAGACTATTGCCATCGATTCATCGGTAGCCCTACTAAATATCAGGGTATAACCATGTTAAACTCTGCAGGAGGTAAATTACTCTCAGGCCCAGTATCAAGCCTGAGGAGACCTATGCCTGCAGATAAACAATACCAATAGAAACTAAATTTGTCAGCTGATTATATTTCTCCAGTAGCATTATACTAAGGAGATTACAGCTGACTATACCAACAGAAGTTGATGTTAGTATCATCATTTGAAGCTGAAGATGAGTTCATGAGGCCTCAGTGGCAAATCAGTGAACAGTAGCCTAAAACAGCTACAAGTCACTGCGACCAATGTCACTGAACCCACTGCAGTCTCAGAACCATACTTTACTTTAATGATGAGCTATTCAATCTTCTGAATCAATTAACTAAATTAAACCCCAGTAAATCTGATGACTGATTTGATACATTTATTATTTAATCAAGATGTATTCCATGGGCCTCAGTGTTTATATATCAGTGACCAGTTACCTGAAGAAACTTCAAGTTATATCTAATGTCACTGATCTCACTGCAGTCCCTGAATCATACTTGACTGTAGTACTTGATCACATTCAGTCTTCTGGGTTAAATAATATGTAATAAGGCTTGAATATTAGCCTTTCAAGAGTTGACAGGGAAATGAAATCGCATTAGACTTCTAACCCCTGCAACTCTAGTACGGGACATCCGTCCTGTACGAACAGACGCACAAATGTGTGATTACTAACTACTAACATCAAATTAATCTAATAATTCGAAGGAGGAGTATCGGTGTTCGTCTGTTCTAATTAGGACTTCGACCCGTGAGCAGCCCCTGGGGAATTATGTCGGAAAATCCGACACCATTTAATATATCATACAGACAGATAATATTTGCTGCTGTATTACCAACAAGTTACCCATAGAAAACGTAACTTGTAGTGGAATTACCGTCTAAAGAAAACGGGATATCATCACCACATACTATTATAATTCACCACCTATTATGGTGGGAATTATTCTTAAATACATAAGTCTTTGGACTTTACCATCATAAAAACATCTTATATAAATTAACTTAATTATCAATATTAAAGTAGAGTAAATGTGACCCTTCTATCACTTTCTGAAATCTGGACAAAGTAGGCCAGGCGTCAGTGGGGAAGGAGGGCAGCCATTGTTGTTTATATAGAGACCAGAGGCTCACACGGGAGCAAATTCGGCTCCTGTTAATTTTACTTGGACGTAGTGTTATGGATACCAAAGGTGTACCATCTGTCAACACGCTGTCAACAAATCAAGTTAAGTGTTCTTTCCGAAACCCATTATCTATCATTAGTGGCCATTAATGTCATTATATAGGGTGACCCGGTTAGAACGCGTAATCGCCTCAAACTAAAGGTAATTAAGCCAGGTCTTTAATGTTCCATGTACTGTATAGTGTTTTCTCTGATATAGCTTGTCATATATAGGATTCTGGCTTCACAGCTAGCGCACTTTTGACAGGTCAAGACGAGGATGCAAGATTATGTGCACCAGTTACTGGGTGATAGAAGCTACCTCAAAGAGGATAATTTGGTGTCTACACTCTAGTTATACCTGGTGGACTAACCTGCTGTACTATAAGAGAAGGAACCTCATCAATGTATGTAGCTATTACTGTAGTTTGATTGGCTGCATATGTGTAATATAAACCCCCCCTAATGTGTAGAGGATCGATTTGTGAGATTATGAGATTATTGCAGAAATACAGTCCACTTATCATTATACAAATTGCTATCGAAGTATATAAATTAACGTAAATATAAATTCATATAAATTAAATAAATATAAATCTCACAGGTCGGTTCCCACAAAGATTACCTTCAGGTGGTTCCGAGGATTAATGCCCTCGCGGCTCGGTCTCTGCTTAACCAGGATTTTGGACGCCGTGTATTATATATTATATATATATATATATATATATATATATATATATATATATATATATATATATATATATATATATATATATATATATATATATATATATATATATATATATATATATATATATATATATATATATATATAATTATATATAATTATATATATATATATATATATATATATATATATATATATATATATATATATATATATATATATATATGCGCCGTGTGTGGAGAGTGCGTAATTTGATGCTCTCACGCCAATACACAAACTTGGAAAGAGGCTCCACTTAGGTGGTATGGTGTTGTGGCGCCAGGCTGGCGGCGGGCGGGGCGGGGGAGGGGGAGGGGGAGGGAAGCAGCGGCGGCGGCGGTGTAGGGCGCGGCATTGATGAGAGGCATCACTATCAAGGCTGTGAGAGTAGCTGTACCGCTGGTAACTAAAGTGATGACAAGTCCATCCACGGCCAGGTCACCGACCACCGGCATGATCAGCCACACTGTTGGTGTCTGCAGCTACCAATCACACCTAAGAACCGTAGGGATATAATGATAGAATACAGTTGCCTCTTGAGGTCCGTTATGAGACTGGTAATTCTCCTTTTGAGTTTAATGAGGTGATGCCGACTCTCGCTCCCCTTATGCTAGTCAGTTCTAATCCCATAATAATTGCCGCTGTCGGGGGACAGGAAGCCTATACTTGGGCTCATCCAGGTCACCTGAGGTCACCTGCTGACCACCTCCAAGGTCACACCCACAACAGTCTGCCAGCTCCCCGGTGGTACCCGTTCACTACTATATGAACAGCTCATCAGGTGAAGGGAAACGTGCCCCACATTTCTGCTCCGCTGGCCGGGAATCGAACCCGTGACCCCGACTGTGGAGACCGCTGTACTACTGGACTTGGGGGTGCTCTCCTCTCCACCATTTCTATCTTCGAGATGCTGACTGTAATTAAGATGCTATAACAAGACGGGCTGCACATATACACAGCCTGAGTGATCGTGTACAGTATAAAATAAATGAACGCTTGTATGTGTATCACCGACCTGGTCACCACAAAAAGAAACGGAGCGGATATGCTCACAACATACAAGATACTAAGGGGAACAGACAAACAAAAAATTTATTTTTAAATTGTGAACAAAGTTGGACGAGGTATCGTAAGTGAAAGCTGGAATCACAAACGAGTCTAAGAAATGAAAGGAAATATTCGTAGACTGTACGCTACACACAGAAAGCACAATAGCGTGATGCATCAAATGAACAAATCCACAAGGGCCGTGACGAGGATTCGAACCTGCGTCCGAGAGCATCCCAGACGCTGCCTTAATCGACTGAGCTACGACATGGATAAGAATTACAACCAGAAATTCTACTGAATTTACTTGGATCCTGCAGCCTCTCCGAGACACAAACCAGGATTTTACACAACTCCCCCCTGCACTCGAGCTATGTCAATAGGCCGTTCTACCTCTTCGCCCTTACTTCATTACACATTATCATCAGTAGAATTTATGGTTGCAATTCTTATCGATGTCGTAGCTCAGTCGATTAAGACAGCTTCTGGGATGCTCTCGGACGCAGGTTCGAATCCTCGTCACGGCCCTTGTGGATTTGCACACTGTACGATTAGTTAACAAATGGAATGAACTGAAAGATGCAGTTGTGGACGACTCCTTCATTCACGACTTTAACAAGAGATACGACAAGAGAATTCGAGCGTCAGAATAGTTAGCGACATTATAGGTAAGACAAGAAACACAAGGCTAGTAGGGGAGGCAGGAAGAGCTACACGTCGCTACCAAGTAGTGAGTGAGAGGTAAGTGGTGAGAGGTAAGTGGTGAGAGGTAAGTGGTGAGAGGTAAGTGGTGAGAGGTAAGTGGTGAGAGGTAAGTGGTAAGTGGTGAGAGGTAAGTGATGAGAGGTAAGCAGCAGTGAGAGGTAAGCACACCACTCACCACCACACAATGACGTGAGAGTGGCTGCCAATGACTGTTGCTCAACTATTCCAGCCGCGGCTGCTACCGTTCCTTCCGACACTCCTGTACAAATATAAACTTTGACCAAACTTCTCAGGTATAACATCCCCGAAGACTACCACTCCATCTCTCAACCTGCCACTCCGTACAAAATACAACTGTTTTACCTAACCATAAACGTACGAACGAACCCAAGCAACCCACCGAACCTAACGAGGCCAATGCACAGAAACCAGTGCTTTATTTTTTACTAACACGTCGCATTTTTTACGGAGTGGTAAGTGCGTTTTAAGTTAGGGTGGAATTGGTAGGTCTTATAATGTGTTGATGAACTCTCAGACGTGCGCAGCGACCCCGACCATTGACCATTGACTTCCTTAGTCAATGGTTTATCCCCCCGACCATTGACTTCCTCTCTTTATAACATAGTCTTTATCCCTTTTAATATCTGCTGCCACCCTCTACCCTTAACAAGGCGGCCCAACACGCTACACAATACACCTGTTATCAAGGAGCCAATTATAGGTTATACATTGTTAACGTTCAACATGTTCTTCACTATTAGCATGCCAGGGGTACCGTGTGACCCGCGAAACCCACATGTAAGAGAGGACCCACAGGCAAGAGAGGACCCACAGGTAACACAGCACCCACAGGTAACAGAACCCACAGGCAACACAGGACCCACAGACAACACAGGACCCACAGACAACACAGGACCCACAGGCAACAGAGGACCCACAGGCAACAGAGGACCCACAGGTAACAGAGAACCCACAGGCAACACAGGACCCACAGGCAACACAGGACCCACAGGCAACACAGGACCCACAGGCAACACAGGACCCACAGGCAACACAGGACCCACAGGCAACACAGAACCCACAGGCAACACAGGACCCACAGGCAACACAGGTAAGAGAAGACCCACAGACAACAGAGGATCCACAGGCAACAGAGGACCCACAGGCAACAGAGGACCCACAGGCAACAGAGGACCCACAGGCAACAGAGGACCCACAGGCAACAGAGTGCCCAAGTACATCAAAGAATCTATCTACAAGACAGGGACCCAAGAGCGACAGAGGAGAAAACAGAGATAATGGTGTATAAGGTAGGGTGATAAATGGTGGAAGGGAGGCAGGTGTGAACATTACACCCGCCTCCAGCACCCTCTCACACCTGCAGCCGTGGCGCACCGGACAAAAACCCGAGCCAGGAAGGAACTGAGGAGGGAGAGAGAGGAGCGGGAAGAGGAGTACAGAAGAAGGGGAGAATGGAGGGGGGGGGGAAGAATGGAGAGGGAAGAAAGGGGTGCAGGAGAGGGAGAGTGTGTTGTGAGAGAGTAGCAGCTTAGGAGATAACACAGCTTACCGTGGAGCACGAACAGAAGAGAGAAGGAACAATTGAGAAAAGAGAGCGGAAGGTACCCAAGGCTGATAAGAGAGGAGCCCAAGTTTTCCTAAAGTTATATATGTTTCTAAAAAAAAATAAAAACTTATGAAATAATAAAGCTGCCTATGCTTTATCTGCCCAATACCTATCTACCCTAACCTAACCTAACCAATCATAACCTAACCTAACCTAACCTAACCTAACCTAACCTAACCTAACCAATCATAACCTAACCTAAAGTAACATAACTAAGTCAGTAATTAATTTTCTAAATAATATAATAATAATAATAAAAAAATTCATTTTTTTTAAATAACCAAAATTACTGCCATTAGGCAAATCGGGCCTTGCATAGTAGGCTGAGAAGTGCGTTCTGGCTACTTGGCACCACATATATATATATATATATATATATATATATATATATATATATATATATATATATATATATATATATATATATATATATATACATACATACACATACATACATACATACATACATACATACATACATACATACATACATACATACATACATACATATTTAAAAAAATCACAATGACGTAATATATTAATGAGAAAATCCATTTGGGACAATGATGTGCCTTGTACCAGGGTGCTGGTAACTCCCAGACACCCGCCTTAACCAACTCAGCTAACACCCAACAGTTACATGCTTTTAGGACCAAATCTTTGACTTGCTTTTATTTTAATCCAATTATTTTACTTTAAAACACAAACTGTTCACGTAAACGTTGCATTACGTAATGTAAGAAAAAAGAAGTTTTGAACAACTGAAGTCCTTTGTAGTTGTTAGCTAGACGTGGCCGCTCCCTGAGCTATAGACCCATTTACTGATACCAGGGATGCATCAGGGGTGAGGGGAAGTGTGTGTGGGGTGAGGGAGGGAGAGGGGAGAGTGAGTGTGGGGGAGAGGGGACATGTCCAGGAAGAGCACCACAGCCTGGCCAGAGACGCCTTACGCCAACTGGTGACCAAGTCTGACAGGGGGTGTCCCTGCAGGTCCCCACGAAGAACGTCAGCAACTTGGGTCACCAGCTTGGGGTCTTGCGACCCCAGTTTGCACCTGGGGAACCTTCCCTTTACCCACCCAAGACCCTAGTGGGTTAGTGGGCGTAATGACCCGCCTCACATCTACTGGATAAACAGGGACCTTACACAATACTTACTTCAAACCTCATTGGGCAGGTGGATACCGTACCCAAAACCCGACCCTTTACCCTAATTAACACGTACGGGTAATACCCACCTCTTGACGTGTTAAACAAGCATCCCACTCAACTACACTACCAAAAAATAAGATTATTGACCTCTAACATTTCACCGGAAAATGGTGCAGTCTTATACCAGAAGCACCTCACTCCAGCACAAAGCTCTTCTACTGTCAATTATGTTAATGAAGAAACTTTTAACTCGGGACAAAAAATCACCAACGAATATTTGAATTTTGGGGGTTGAGAGGCAGACCACTTTCCCCTCTTGCCCCTCACGCCTTCCCCCCTAGTCCCTCACGCCTTCTCCTGGCCCACCTGCCTTCCCCTGGCCCATCTGCCTTCCCCCCCTGGCCCATCTGCCTTCCTCCCCTGGCCCATCTGCCTTCCCCCCTGGCCCATCTGCCTTCCCCCCCTGGCCCATCTGCCTTCCCCCCCTGGCCCATCTGCCTTCCCCCCTGGCCCATCTGCCTTCCCCCCTGGCCCATCTGCCTTCCCCCCTGGCCCATCTGCCTTCCCCCTGGCCCATCTGCCTTCCCCCTGGCCCATCTGCCTTCCCTCCTGGCCCATCTGCCTTCCCCCCTGGCCCATCTGCCTTCCCTCCTGGCCCATCTGCCTTCCCCCCTGGCCCACCACACTTTTCTCTTAACCACCGGTGATAGCACCAATTTTTCTTTCTTTCGCTTCACTCTCAAGTCTCGTCTTACCTCATTCACCTGGTGTCCCTGGCACCCCTACTCACCTCTCCCTCCCTTAACACACAACTCTCACATCACTACACACACACACACACACACACACACACACACACACACACACACACACACACACACACACACACACACACACACACTAGAGAGCCCATCCCTGCCCTTGTGTGGCAGTGCACAGTAGAAAGTTGTTTTCACATATCCATACATTAAAACATTGATTGTAACCATGATATATATGTACTTCAGCCTACAATTTAGACCTATTGTCTTATGTATGACCCTCTGTCCTGCATGACAGTAAATACCAGCATTATCCTCACTTTAATAAGACTATCAAAATCCTCAGATTAGGCAAAATTGTAATTGTCAATAAAGATGTTAATAATACACAACCTACCACACCAATGGCTACCTGTGGTCTCCTCACTAACACACACCGTTTTAGTAGTTGTTTTAGATTCAGCTACTCGGAACAAAAGTTACAAGTAGCACGGGCTATGGTGAGCCCCATAGTGGACTTACCTGGCACAGGAGCGGGGCTGTGCGCACACCGCCAAGCACATCCGCTCTTCTACAACGCACATACATTCTCTCCTGCACCTCTCCGCCATCCACGAGCGTTCACCCGTCCACCACCTATCCCTCCCATCCTTTATTAGATCGGCTCCTTCGCCCTCTCTCCATCAATCAGTCTTCACTCTCCCTCCCTCCCTCCCTCCCTCCATCCCTCCCTCCCTCCCTCCCTCCCTCTCTCTCTCTCTCTCTCTCTCTCTCTCTCTCTCTCTCTCTCTCTCTCTCTCTCTCTCTCTCTCTCTCTCTCTCTCTCTCTCTCTCTCTCTCTCCCTCCCTCCCTCCCTCCCTCCCTCCCTCCCTCCCTCCCTCCCTCTCCCCCTCCCTTCCGCCTGGCGATATTAAGCCCTTAATAGTGAATCACCTTACAAGTGCACCATTAAAAATTTCCCAAACTTGTACGACCTCTTGTTTACCAGCTCTCCCCCCCCCCTCCCCCTCCCCCTCCCAGGTCAAACGCCTAGTTTATTAAAATTTCTCCTTTGCCTCGTACAACAAGTTCAAAATAAAAAAAGACAAATACGAACCTTATTAGGTAAGGCACTATAACAACCATTATGTGGTGGACCATCCCACAGTGTGGTGGACCAGTGGTTGTGTTGTCCCACAGTGTGGTGGACCAGTGGTTGTGTTGTCCCACAGTGTGGTGGACCAGTGGTTGTGTTGTCCCACAGTGTGGTGGACCAGTGGTTGTGTTGTCCCACAGTGTGGTGGACCAGTGGTTGTGTTATCCCATAGTGTAGTGGACCATCACACAGTGTGGTGGACCATCCCACAGTGTGGTGGACCAGTGGTTGTGTTGTCCCACAGTGTGGTGGACCAGTGGTTGTGTTGTCCCACAGTGTGGTGGACCAGTGGTTGTGTTGTCCCACAGTGTGGTGGACCAGTGGTTGTGTTATCCCATAGTGTAGTGGACCATCACACAGTGTGGTGGACCATCCCACAGTGTGGTGGACCAGTGGTTGTGTTGTCCCACAGTGTGGTGGACCAGTGGTTGTGTTGTCCCACAGTGTGGTGGACCAGTGGTTGTGTTGTCCCACAGTGTGGTGGACCAGTGGTTGTGTTGTCCCACAGTGTGGTGGACCAGTGGTTGTGTTGTCCCACAGTGTGGTGGACCAGTGGTTGTGTTGTCCCATAGTGTAGTGGACCATCACACAGTGTGGTGGACCAGTGGTGTGGTGGACCATCACACAGTGTGGTGGACCAGTGGTGTGGTGCCAGGATAACACCAACCTGAGTGAGTGAGTTGTTGAAGGTTTACACTCTGGCCATAGAGGAAAGTTATTACCGAGTGCAGTTTTGCCAGTGATGCTTGAACTCTACACTTAGGCCTACAGAAAATATATAGATTTTAAGAACCTTAAAGGTGAATCAGTCGTGCAATTAGACATTTTTTTATTATATTAACAAGGTACAATTGAGTTCGGTGTAACGAGACAAGAGATATTAATTTAGAAGAACGTAATATAAATTATTAACTCATCTGGACTAGATGCTTTAGTAACACCGGTGTTAACACAAGTGTGTCGAGGTCATCTCCCTACCTCAGTATCCTCGACAACCTCCAGGATGCTCTCCAAGCTTCCTCCATCATCAAGGCATCACATCAAGGTCAGCAGACACTCAAGGTGTCTGTTGGAGCTGAAGTGTGACAAAGGCTGTTGGGCCTGACAGAATCTCTCCATGGATACTAAAGGAAGGTGCAGAAGCGCTAAGTGTGCCACTCTCTATGGTGTATAGAGGTAGGTCTCCTGTTTCCACTGGAAACAGGAGACCTACCAGAAAGTTGGGAGTCAGCTAACGTAGTCCCAATATACAAGAAGGGTGACAGGCAAGAGGCACTGAACTACAGGCCAGTTTCCCTAACTTGTATACCATGTAAGGTGATGGAGAAGATCGTGAGGAAAAGGCTCGTAGAGCATCTGGAGGGAAACAGCTTTGTAACACACCACCAGCATGGGTTCAGAGATGGTAAATCGTGCCTCACAGATTTAATAGAATTCTATGACCAGGCAACAAAAATTAGGCAGGAAAGAGAAGGATGGGCCGACTGCATTTTCCTGGACTGCCAGAAAGCTTTTGACATAGTACCCCCTCAAAGACTGTTAAAAAAAGTTAGAGCAACAAGCAGGAGTAAAAGGGAAGGTGCTCCAATGGATAAGGGAGTACTTAAGCAACAGGAAACAGCGAGTAACTGTGAGGAGGGGGGAAAACATCAGAGTGGCGAGATGTCACCAGCGGAGTCCGACAGGGCTTAGTACTTGGACCCATCCTGTTTCTATTATATGTAAACGATCTTCCGGAGGGTATAGACTCAATGTTTGCTGATGAGGCAAAAATTATGAGAAGAGTCAAGACAGATGAAGATAGACAGAGACTACAGGATGACCTGGACAAACTGGAGGAATGGTCTAGAAAATGGCTGCTAAAGTTCAACTCAGAAAAGTGTAAAGTAATGAAATTAGGCGAAGGGAGCAGGAGGCTGAACACAAGGTACCATCTGGGAGGTGAAATCCTGCAAGAGTCAAATATAGAGAAAGATCTGGGTGTTGATATCACACCGAACCTGTCCTCAGAGGCCCACATCAAAAGAATATCATCAGCGGCATATGCTAGATTGGCCAACATAAGAACGGCCTTTATAAACTTGTGTAAGGAATCGTTCAGGACCCTGTATACCACTTATATCAGATCAATCCTGGAATATGCAGCTCTAACTTGGAGTTCATACCTAGTTAAACACAAGACAAAGTTAGAGAAGATTCAGCGGTATGCTACCAGACTCGTCCCGGAACTGAGAGGAATGAGCTACGAGGAAAGACTAAAGGAGTTGTACCTCACGTCCCTGGAAAACAGAAGAGTAAGGGGAGACATGATAACCACTTACAAAATTCTCAGGGGAATTGACAGGGTGGACAAAGACAAACTCTTCAGCACGGGTGGAACACGAACAAGGGGACACAGGTGGAAACTTAGTACCCAGATGAGCCACAGAGACGTTAGACAGATTTTTTTTCAGTGTAAGAGTAGTTAATAAATGGAATGCACTAGGCAGTGATGTGGTGGAGGCTGACTCCATACACAGTTTCAAATATAGATATGAAGGGGCCTCGTAGCCTGGTGGATAGCGCGCAGGATTCGTAATTCTGTACGTGGCGCGGGTTCGATTCCCGCACGAGGCAGAAACAAATGGGCAAAGTTTCTTTCACCCTGAATGCCCCTGTTACCTAGCAGTAAATAGGTACCTGGGAGTTAGTCAGCTGTCACGGGCTGCTTCCTGGCGGTGGAGGCCTGGTCGAGGACCGGGCCGCGGGGACACTATAGCCCCGAAATCATCTCAAGATAACCTCAAGATGATAGAGCCCAGTAGGCTCAGGAATCTGTACACCAGTTGATTGACGGTTGAGAGGCGGGACCAAAGAGCCAAAGCTCAACCCCCGCAAGCACAAATAGGTGAGTACAACACCATCTCAAAATAAATAATAATCTAAAGTTCAATCCAACCTGTTCACCACACTCCCGCTACCTATTTTCCACCACCACCACCCTATTTCTCGGCACCACCACTATCTGCTCTATTCTCGCCCATCCGCCGTCACAACTACTATCCTCCGCTCTCCCAACTAGCTTGTTAAGGGCATAATAACGACCCAATTCCCCCGTGCTGTTATTAAGGATGGCAGAGGCAGCAGTATCCTAGCAACTCGTCAGGGGGGAAAGCCGCTACAATCAACCTTAATGAACTTCCCACGAGACCCCAGCACGAGACCCCAGTACGAGACCCCAGTACGAGACCTCAGTACGAGACCTCAGTACGAGACCCTAGTACGAGACTCCAGCACACTTCACCCAACACGAGACCCCAGTACACTTCACACAGCCCTCACAACACCCTGTGATCCTACCTCACAACACCCTGTTATCCTACACCACTAACTCACAACACCCTGTGATCCTACACCACTACACAAACCCCTCTCTACACAACACCCGTTCAATCTACACCCATTTCTCATTTCCAGCCCAGAACACCATTTCATCACAACAAGCTATATTAACTCTCCCAGATCCCTCTCAGACGACAGTATAAAAATGAGCCAAATACTTAGGACTCGGTTCGACTTGGTGCTCAGTGAGCCGTTAACACATTGGAGATTATCACTCCAGATGTGTTCTTTGGGAGCGCGGCGTCGCCTCAAGGCGTCCAATATTGTAAGCAGTCAAGAACGTGATCCTGTATGAACCATAAACGATTTAAATTAAAAAGCCTGAAATCTGCTTTATAATGGTTCACACATCTATGGTTCATCCAATAAAATCAGCAGATTTCTAGATATTACTATTGGTCGGCTTAGACTCGGTTACAATTATCTCTGGGAATTCTCATTATCTGCTGATGTAGACCTGACCAAATGTAAACTGTGTCAACAAAATTATTCGCATACCCTCCGTCACTATGTGATGGAGTGCGAAAAGATATGTGAATTCACAGACAATTCTCCAACGAATGTTCCAACGATGTGTAAATATTTCATTCAAAATGATCTACTACCAGAAATTTTAGCTAAATATCCCCGGTTTGCTAACTGTAGGTAGTAACTAAGTGATTGTAACCTATCCACCGCTGTCCACTGGATGGGGGGCGGTGTGCAGGACAAACATATCAATTGTGACACTAGCTCTCCACATATGTCAGTTGCTTAATTTAGAAACTGTACTTGTGGTCGATCTCGAACCCAATAATAATGTGACGACGTGTATTGAATTTTGTAACCAGCTCATCAAGATTGTAACTTGCTTAGCTAAATGAATTGTGGGGTTCAGTCCCTGAGCCCATTATGTGCCTCTATAACCCTTTCCACTACCGCCCACAAGATGGGTATAGGGTGCATAAATGAACTAAACTAACTCTATAATAGTGGCAGTAAAGAGGTTACAGCATACTGTAGGCCTAACACATGACTGTCAATACATCACAGCCCAACATACGACTGAATATGTACATGTGAATGCTACACAGTATTCATCTATAGACACCCATATTTGTTGAAATACATGATACGAACCATAGAAGCACTCGCAACTCTCTTGACAAGAAAGCCTAGATTAGCTACCAAATACACAAACATCGTGTCAGCAAGGCGGTCAGTCCGTCTGCTATAATACTCGCTCTATACTTCGCCTTCTTAAACCGTTTTTTCCAATTGTCTATCTCCAGTTTCCTCACTCCCGCCCCCCCCAAAAAAAAACCTATTAGCGTGCCCCCCCCCCCTTTCCCACACGGCTACCTCCCCCTTCCACCACCTCCCCCTACCACCCGTCCTCACAACTTCTCCCCCACTCTCCTTTACTTAGTCTATGAATACACATCATTAACGCGCCAAGAGGCGACCGCCCGTATCATAACTCAGGTGGGTATTGAACAATAAAGCTTAATTAAAGCTGGTAAGAGAGCGGCAGCCCGCGCCTACCTCCACCACAACTGTCATAAAGCCCCTAAGCCTGGCTTCCCTTCCCCCATCACCTCCAGTAATTAAGTGTAAGGTTGGAGGGATCCGTCACAAGCTCACACTACTGTTTTATCTCCGAATTTGTAATTAACTCACATCTTTAAATCTATAATATCTTATCCGGTTTTTCCGCATACTTGGATTAATGTTTTTGTGATCATTGTTGCATAATAAATAAAAATTGAAACGTTCGTTTGTTCAACATCGGTAATCTCCAAAAGTTCTTCACCGATTGCTTTGAAAATTTGACACAACGTTCCATTCGAGTACGTGCGTGTGTTTATACACCTACTATGTAGCTGTCACACCTGTGACAAGTAAAAACATGCTTTTTTGAAAAACGGTACCATCTGTTGCACGTAATAGCAACACAACCCTTCAACCCTTCTTCCTCCTCTCCCCCTTCTTCTCCCCTCTCCCCTATCCTCTTCCCATCTCTCTTGACTGCTGGAGGCAGATTGGTCACAAGCACCTGGGTATCTAAAACTTTGGGTCACAAGTTTTCCCCTTGTGCTGTGTGGTTACAGAGAGGCACATCTCCCCTCTGTCAGCCAGAGAATACCATCCAGGTCTCCCGGGAAGACTTTGCCCCTAGTTCAAATTGATTGGGTATAGACCATGGAAAGAGGTGGAGCCAGGACTCCACCTTGAAGGATTGAGAGCAAAAGATCGTCATTGTGACCTGGTTGTGAGTAGGGGCTGGGGGGGTGATCAACCCCCCACAACACCCGCTGAGAAGCAGTATGAAGGTATTTTTCAGTTTGAGGTTCCTGTACAATTGCTATTCCATTACCATAACTCTAGTTTAGGATGTCACTAACTTAGTGATTATTTAATAGTGGAAAAAATGATTGAAGTTCCTGTTATTTATTCTCTTGTGTATTTTATACTCTTTTCCTTAATTAATTCTGAGGCATAGATCTGGAATTGCTTTGGACATCACCTGTGATCTTATGAGCATTTTATGAGTAAATATATTCCCCTTGTAATTCATGAAGTAATGCAGAAGGAATTCCATTCATCCAGTAAGTATTATAATATCAAAGTTCCTTAAACACTCGTTATTCGTTGACTAGTCTCCTCCAGAGTCAATTGGCATAAATATTAAAGTTCCAGGAGGAGTGGTGGCGGCATTATTTGTT